AATGTGTATTTGTAGGAGCATTATTTATCAAATCCAAAATGAGATCTAGCCACACAAGGTGTTTTGCATGTGACAAGGCCTTGCTCTGTAGCCTGTAGCCCTGTAGTCTGTAGCCCTGTAGCCCTGTAGCCCTGTAGCTCTGTAGCCTGTAGCCCTGTAGCCCTGTAGCCTGTAGCCCTGTAGCCCTGTAGCCTGTAGCCCTGTAGCCCTGTAGCCTGTAGCCATGTAGCCCTGTAGCCCTGTAGCCCTGTAGCCCTGGCTGACCCAGGCTGGCCTCAGACTTTCAGCAATCCTCCTGCCTCAGACTCTGAGAGCTGGGTTTACCATACCAGGTGTATTATGCAGCCATGAAAAAGAATTAAAGAATGACACAGCCACAACGTGAATGGAAATATCGTACCAGGTGAAAGAACACAAACGGCCCCATGATGCACCACACCAAACAAACCGTCTCCCCAGAAAAGGAAAAGCCATAAACACATCAGTGGCTGCCGGGCTGAGAGGAAAAGGGGATGAGGAATGATTGGCAAGAGTTCCAGGATTCTGGGGCTTGGGAGACGGCTCAGAGGTTAAGAGCACTGCCTGCTCTTGCAGAGGACCAGGGTTCGATTCCCAGCACCCACATGGTGGCTAACAGCCGTCTATAACTCCAGTTCCAGGGGATCCAACATCCTCTTCTGACCTCCAAGGACATTGCATGATACGGGTGCACTTACATGCATGCAGGCAATACATACACATAAAAATAATAAATTTTTTGGTCTTTTTGAGACAGGGTCTCCTTGTAGTGGGGGCTGTCCTGGAACTCACTTTGTAGACCAGGCTGGCCTTGAACTCACAGAGATCCGCCTGCCTCTGCCTTGAGTGCTGGGACTACAGGCGTGTGCCACCATGCCCAGTTAAATAATAATTTTTTTTTAAAAAAGAGTTCCAGGATTTCCTCTTGTAGGAGTGGCCACTTAAGAGAGGCGGTGAGCATACTAACATATTAAAAAGCATGGAGTTGCACATTTCCAAAGCGTTAGCTTCATGTTCTGTGAAGTATTTTTCATACAAGCAGGCCAAATATTGCTATACATAAACTAAAAATAAAATTTTAAAAAGTCCCTGAGCAGCTGTAGATCACTGGACCACATACTCACCGAGTTGATGGCCTTTTTATGTCAGTAAACTTACAGTGTCTCTATATGAGCCTATATCGGTTTTATGACAAATCAATATAACATTATTTGTACAGCATGATACCGAGGTCCCAGTCACAAAACAACTGTCACACTCCCTGGGCTAACTTCAAAGTCCTGGAAATGGAATTTCCTGGAGGAAACAGCTTGTGGTCCAAGTGTCCCTTTTGAGATAGAAAGGGAAACCATGAATTTGTAGTTGAAATAATTAACTCTCCCTAGGATATAGCCACATGCTACTTCTAGCTCCTTGGGTTAAATGGTGAAGGACACAGCCCTCAGAAGAGCCACCTGTGTGCTCAGAGGAACGGGGAAAATCCTGTGTGAAGTACTTTTTAAAAAGCCATTTGGAGAAAGCCAGATGTGATGACTCACACCTATAATCCCAGCACTTGGGAGGCTGATGATGCAGGATTGCTGTGTGTTCAAGGCCAGCCTGGGCTACATAGCATGTTCTAAACTACAGTGTGAGACTTTATCTTACACAAAACAAAAACAAATATAATAAAAACAAATATATAGGGGCTGGAGAGATGGCTCAGCAGATAAGAGCACTGGCTGTTCTTAAAGAATATGCAGCTTCGAATCCCAGCACCCACATGGCAGCTAACAACCATCTGAAACTCCAGTTCCAGGGGATCCAACACCCACTTCTGTCCTCTGTGGACACTGCACAACACGGGTGCACTTATACACATGCAGGCAATACACTCATACACATAAAATTAAAAAAACCAAATATATAAGTACATACACAAATATGTAAATAAAAATAGAATAAACAAAAATTTAAAAATAAGTTTTGAAAACATCCACAATGCATTTGGAGTTGGTCTCACAGAGATGTGTGTGTGAGACCGGCCCTGATACTCTACCTCAGTTAGAGTGGCCACAGCAATTTAAGCAATTCAAAGCCCACAGTTCAGAACTCTGTCCCAGCATGTTCACAGTTCAGCAACCCTCACAGGCAGCCTCTGCTAAGGTTCCCTTTTCTTACAGAGGACCCAGATTCAGTTCCCAGCACCCACATGATGGCTAACAACCTGAAGTTAGTGACTCCAGTTCTGGGATCTGATGCCCTCTTCTGACCTCCATGGGCATTGCATGCAGGAGATGCACTCATACACGTTAAAAATATTAAATGTCCCTTTTCTTACCACTATGAGCTTACTCATACATTTTTTTCATAAACAGATTATATCATATATAAGGTTTAACATTTGATTTTTTATTCATGTATCAGAAATGTTATCTGATACTTTTTAGTTTCTCCAATACTGTTGCTTTTAGAATCTATGGGAATTCTTTCTCTATAATGCTTAAATGATTTCATTTTTCTCTCTTTTGTAAACAATTTTACTGTGAATGAACGTCCTATAGCTTTGCCTTTTGACCCACTGGGAGCTATCTCCTGTGGTGGGTCTTGGATGTAGAATTTCAAAGTCAAAGGGTGTGGACAAGCTTAGAACCCTAGGAAGCCACTGAAGGGTTTTGAGCCATGAAGTGATGTGAATTAATTTGGATCTTTCAAAGATTGGAAGCAGGGGTGCCAGTCACCCAGGTGGAATGGACAGAAACTCAGACTCAGACTCAGATGGAGGTGGGCCGGTAGATCTGCTCAGCCAGGGACATCATTATGCTCAGATTATTTAAATGGGAAGGTTTACGGAAAGAGAGAACACCATGTTAGCTCCCAGATCTCTCTCCAAAGAGTGGATGTGATGCTGTCTACTGAGATGCGGGAGGCTGAAGGAAGACCAGTTTTGAGGATGCGTCAGGATGTGCATGAAATAGTCTCTGACTGTACATTTGTACCGCCTGTTAAAACATGTGTTAAGACACTGAGGAAGCAGCTGAGTCTGGGGCTCAGGAAGGAGGTAAAAATTTGGGGTCATCGTCTGATAGAATTGACCCAATTAAGAGAAATGCTACCCAGTATCTAAGGAAGGTTGGAGCCTGTTCATGACACCATCATCCTGGAAACATTTTGGTGGGGAGAAACCATATCCAAACCAAAGCATGGAGAGGAGTGGGTCACTGTCACTGACTCCCCCGCGGTAACCAAAGTGACCCTCACAAGACACTTGGTACTGTATCTGGCACGTACTTAACAGAGTATTACACTTAGTGTTATCCATGAAGTAGTATTCCAGACCTTTGCGATGTGTCTTTACAGTTTACTGCTTTAAAGGGCAGGCCTATACTCCAGACAGTGAAATGCCACGTCTATTGGCAGGCCACACGCCCCAGCTGTCCCCTGGGACAAAGCCTGCTTCCCTTCTATGCCTGATGCACCGGGGCTCATCTTCCAAAGCTCAACACACATGATCTGCTTGGCATGAAGTTCTCTGTGAACCCCCAATTAGAATAAAAATGTTACTATTTCTATGATGGTCTGAAGCAGTGTGACTCACACAGTGCTCACTGGTGATCACTTTTAAAGATGGTCACAACAGTTTCTACTGATAGAAGAGAATTTTTACAGGTTAGCAGGTTGGAATAGTTGTAAAACTAAGTTTGCCCTAAAATTGACTCTGTAGCTAGGGATGAGATTGAGTGTAATCGAGCGCTGTATATAATACCATAGCTTGGTGTATAAATTGCAGCCTACCTTTACAGTATTCCCTGTAACCAAGCTACAGGAGTCTCGGCTAATCATAGCACCTAAACCTCTAGCCACTCAGGGGCTGAGTGCCTACTGCAGCCAATCGGGTTGTCTCTGTGCGGTTCCTCTTGCATGCCCATAAACATAAACTGACGTGTGCTCAGGTATTGCCTGGAATTTTGACGAATGCTTCAGAATTGGACTTGAAAATGTTGTCTTTTACCAGAACAGCAAATAGAAACTAAGACAACTTGTGTCCATTCTTAGGAAGAAGGCCCTTCCTGCTGGTTCTTGAACAGTCAGGAGTAGGCAGGAAGGAGCCCAGCGTCCAAGAACCCAGACTCATTCAAGCTCTGGTGTCAGGTCTGCACCAGAAACAGCATCTGGCTTGGAAGGACTTCACACCCAACAAACCCTGACGTTTCCTCAAATTAAGAGGACTGTGCACACGCAGTTTAGTCCTCTGTCTTCACAGGTCAAGTGCTGGACCTGCATTCTTGTAATACTGTAGTATTCTTGTAATACTGCATTCTTGTCCCCACGCGTGGAGCCTGTCCAAACTTTTGACAGTGCGAAAACAATGTTGTCATCCACAAAGTTCACTATCCCAAACCACTCTTTAAATAAAAATCATAGGAAAGCATAATGTTTTAAGTATGTTTATGAGTGTTCCCTGGGCCATGTTCAAAACCATCCTTGGCTCTGGTCCCAGGCCAGGCTTGGCTTAGCCACAGTGGCCCGTGAGGCCACTTTACTTCCATTCATGCTGTCTTGATGTCGACCACAATGTGCACCGTGGCAAGCCTCAAAAAAGACTTGTCAAAGCAATGACTGAATGAAGAATGTTCCAGAGAAAACCCATGTTTTGAGTTCTTAATGTTATTATTTAAAAAGAGATCTAGCTGGGAGATCTAGCTGGGTATGGTAGTTCACACCTGTCATCCCAGCACTTAGGAGGAGAAAGAGGAAGATTACCATGATTTCAAGGCCAGCCTAGGCAATAGAGTAAGTTCCAGGTCAGCCTGGGCTACACAGCAAGACCTTGTTTCAAATACATAAATAAATGAGAAAAAAGGTATGGATGGATAAACAAATTTAACAGTTTAAAGTCAGAATGCACCAAAACTTGGAGCGAGGGTGGATGCCCTGTGGCAAAGGTGCTCCCCGCTCCCACTCAGCACTCGGCAGCAGCCGATGCAGTCAGCGGGATTTACCTAGCTCATCCTGGCAGAAGCTTCCTGGAGGGTTGACGTACTTCATGGTGCTCACGTCTAACTTCCAGTTGTGTTTCGTGCATTTCACAGACCTGGGGGAAAGTGAACACAAAGTTACGCTCTGATGGGTGGCTGACAGCGAAGTGAACCACGGTGTGGAGCACCGCATCCACCATCGCGTCTGGCTCACGGAGCCCTGTTGCGTTCAGCTTTGCTTTGTCTATAGTCTGGACGTCAGGCCAGGCCAGGCTGGGCTCACGCTCACAGAAGCCCTCCCGTCTCTTACAGGCTCCCAAGTGCTGGGATTACAGGCACGAGCTGCCTTTCCTGGTAACCCTCTCTCTCTCCCAGAAAATGAAGTTCACCAGAGCTGGACGGGGACAGCTGGGGACAGAGAGGGCCTGTTGCATTTCTCTGCCTTATCTTTGTAATATTTCTGACAAAGCTGGTGTGTTTAAGAGATAAGGAAATTTTAACCAAGAAACGCCTCAAACCAGAAACAGCAAAGGCTCAGGAGCTGAAAACATCCATTTTAACACGTAAGTGCATCTGGCTGTCATTTCCAAGCTTCATTAGATTCGGAATTTTCAAATGCCCTCTTTAGCTGTGTCTAAAGGTTCGGCCCACACTTTAATTTACGGAGGATCACTTTGTGGCACTGCCTTTCTCAAGAATGAGTAGGCAACAACCCTTAAAGGTGACAACGGAACATTCCAAAAGCAACTGTCCAGCATGCTGGGGCCCCAGGAGGGAGAGCTGGGGGAAGGAAGTGTGGTTGGGTGGCTGCTGGATAGGAGGGTGACAAGAAGGGGCAGGAGGG